GTTAATTTTCACCCCACGTCGGAATCTAATTGCGGCATATTCAGAATTATTCGTTTGAACAAAATGTACACAAATGTATGCGGTATAAAGCAAAACTTTTATAAAACATTCGTGTTCGATTCAAAGTACGCCTCCATGTACAATATCTATATACATAACAAGATAATTTATTTTTATAATGCTACAAATTGCATTAAAGAATACGTAAAATTACTCGAGCGCTAGCCGCTGGAGAATTACAACCCAATTTCAAAGCGAGTCATCTCGACTTTTTGAGACGCGCGGCTCGACGCGACTTTTAACTCCTGAAGTCTGCTCTCGTAGCCAGCAAAGAGGAAAGTATCACGTCTGAATTATGTCTTAAAATGTCAAGAGCACAAGACGCGATCCGTCTGCAAAGCTCGCATTGGGACAAGCTAGGATTTTTGAGATTTCTAAAAAATGTATCATATGCTACGGACACAGAATACACAATGTAGTTGTATACTGAAAGCTTTCTGGATACGCTTACATAAAAGAACTCGTTTAAAAGTATAATCATTGTGAGAAGCACTCAAATTGTGCGAAAAATAGTTTACTAAATTTTTAATTTACTGTGCGCAATACTTCAGTCACTTTTGTGTATTTAAAAGTTTTAGTAATATCAATTTACCATTTATCTATCACTTATAAATTTGTAATTCGTCTTAAACTTCAAGCAATGCTGCATTTGAAACAATATTTCCGAAACAAATATTTTTAACGAAATATATGCTTCGTGAATAAATATATTAAGACAAACTATTTCAAGAGTGCAAGAATGCTTCGACTCTTGAACGGGAGAGGCGGATGAAAAACGCCCCAATTGCAAGTTATCCCGCGCTCGTCTTCTCGCAATCTGACTCCGGGAAGACGCGGGAAGAAAATATCACGTCAGGATTATGTCTTAAAAACGTCAGATGCACAGTACCGAGAAGCTGCAGACATGCCTCGCACGAGAGGGCGGTTGGGGGGGCGGGGAAGCGGATATGAATTTCTGGAAAGGTTTGCTTAAGCAAATTGCGAAATGTAGTGTCTGCTGACGGAGGCGAGAGACGGAGAGGAGGCTTCGCCGCGAGGGGAAACGGAACGGCGTACTTGAATTGTGCGACAGCGCGCCTTCGTTTCGCAGATACTTGGACCGTCGTCCCTCGCCGACGCTCCCGCAGTTGAAAGAAGAGCCGGAAAACCTTCGCCGACGATGAGAGAAAAACGAATTTTGGCGGGAATGTCGGCCGCGTGAAATATTGCCGTCTGGTCGGACGGGTTGTTTGCTCGGAATTGTGATTAGCTTCCCGGCGACTTGGAATTATTTTTCAAACTCGAAAATCTTGCATTCTTAAATTTATATAAATGCGCCACGTGCCAGAAAGAGAACGGAAATCGACGGAATTGTCAAAACTGCTTTTTTGATATAATTATGTAATTAGTTCATTAATTAGTTTAATTAGTATTGCATTTTATAATTAATATTTTTTAATAATTTCCTCCTACGATACCAAAGTTTCACATTACGCATTTAATTTATTTTCTAAAAGCACTAATAACTTGCTAAAGTAATACTCGCGTTTGATGTTTGCCATGATCTGCGAAATGAATTATAAACGAGATTCGCTCGCTCGCGGGAACGAGAGCGAGTCGAAATAAATACACGGTAATCGGCGTAAATCTCTCTGCGCGCCAGCGCTGACTATAGAGCGACGTATGCCGCGCGGCTATCATAAATGCAACCCTTTGCTCTTTGAGTGCTCAACCGTCAATGCGATCATCAATATGCAACTCACTCACTGCAAACTGCGCCGCTCGCGCGAGATTACGTTATACTCCTGATTATGGCGCCAGCGAACCATTTTCGAAATAGAGACCAATTGATTCGTCAGATACATCTATGATGATCTAATGACGCTCTCGTATAAACCGAGTTTTCCCTAAAACCATTAATCGTCATCGAATTGCGAGAAGGATATTTATAAAATTTTAGAATATAGAATGTATTCGAAAGAAATAACTGAACTATATATTTATACGCCGAAATCACAGCGTGCCGCGCTAACAATGAAACGGAACTTTATTTTCCTTATGTAATAAACGTTCGGGTGGCTAAAGAACTTTACATCTCCGAGTTCACAACGGGACGTTTTCTCAAACGGGTTTCAAAGGGAAGTTTTCGCCGCTTTAAATAACTTCTCCGTTCTAGACGCACCGAATAACAGGCATTATCGAAATTCCATACTTAACGACGTCGGCCGTGGTACGAGACGGAATTAAGGCGAATTAACGGGCGTCCTTGACTGGCAATTAAGTGCAATTGGCCCCCGTCGTATACGGCTAATCCGTCGGCGACGGAGACGGTAGATTAGGCAAACGTACGCGTTTAGGATTGTACGGAACACGATTTTCAGCGCGGGCGCGATAACGGCAAATTCGATTTACAACTCGAATTCGAAACGTCGTTAGCCGCTGCCGCTGCTGTTGCTGTTGCTGCTGTTGCCGCCGCTGCTGCCGCTGCTCATTGCGACATAATACGATTTGCCTTTCATTGCGTGTAACTGACATATCGAGGTCGTTGATTCAAGTAGATTACTGCATGACGTATTAATTTACGTTCGATTAGTCTTTCCGATGGATCGGTAACACGTGGTTTTTCAAATTCCATTGTTACGCTCGGTTATGAAACATCAATACTACATGCGTGTGCCCTTTGCAACACGTTTCGACACAGAATTGGAAAGAGCAAAACGGTAAGCTTGATTACAAATTACTTTTAAAATGTATATTCAGATTCAAACCGGGAATTGGAATTACGATACTTTTGCTGCTACAAATTTGTAAAATTGCGGAGATAAAAGGTAATATAAGTTAGGGAAATTTACAACAGCAAATTGTGATTTCGATGCTTTTTTTTTATTTTTTCGTAAAAGAGCAACGACTACCCCGGGAATAAGTACGAAAAAAATTTAATGCAGTTTGTATCCAGAAAATTAAAAACAACCGCGAGTGCGCGGAGCGGACAGAACTGGCACGGCAGAAAGTGCAGCGCGGGTCGTAAAGCGCTGACTAAAAAAAAAAAAAAAAATAGAAAAAAAAGCACCACGCTTTATTATCGTTACGCGAAAGTTCGGTCGCATTATCAGAAACGGCGCGTCGCCGTTTGGCTGTGACAAGTTGCGCCGCGCAGAGAGACGGCCGTATAAACGTGACAAACTGGATTCTCGCCGGCGCTCGCCGAAATTACAACGGCGCGCGTACATGTCGATAGAAATTTCGGCGCGGAGTCCCGTCCATCACGGCGCTGCCATAAATAATCGATGAACGAGATCGCGATCGGACATACAACGGTCGAAATACTTCGATTCGGCACTTTTTCCCGAATTCTGTTCGACCGCGGCTGTACAACCCGCGAATTTTTCGACGCACGACGGGCGCTGGTTAATTAAATTAGCACGGGATGAGGGTCTGATGTTGTATTTCGTCTGCATGTCGAGCCGTGTAACAAGTATAAACGCTATCATCCGAATTCATTTAACCAATAACCAATATCCTGTTTTTTTTTCTTTTTTTTTTCCGTATATGCTTCAATGAGTGAGATGTAGTTGAAAGCGAGAACACAATGAAAAGATGGGTAAATTTAATTTCATGATAAATAATTAATTTAACGTGCAGTCTGGAAATTTAAATACTTTTGTTTATTCGACTGATCAAATCAGATATGAATTTGCCGGCTGATATGTATGTGGAAATAATTGTTATCAAATCGTATTTGATAACAATTATACGCTAAAGAAACCCCTCATTCTCTAACGAAGGAAATCTCGCTAAGTACCGAAATCAATGCTCCTTTGCATCTCGATTATAAACCGTCGTAAGTATACAATGTCGGAAATTACTACTGTGAGCAGCTAAGCACCGGAGAATGGCGGCCGGTTGCTCTGTAATTAGGCGAACATGAGAAGATTTGAATTGTAGACTCCGCTTCCGCTTATCAGGCGTGCCAGGAGCGGCATAATGCGATAGAGACATAGAGCTTATCATAGACGACTAAGAGAGTATAAAAAATAATTGCGATTGATGACGTTAATTCGACGACTATTAAACAAATTGAAAACAAATTGATAACTCTAAATGGCACATACTTTAAACAATGCAGTCAACAATTTTTTGAATTAGTATATATTTAATAATAATTTAATTTAATAGCAATTTTGTAGTGATTTTTAACTCTATATTTAATAGTAATTATTCTATTATTTCGTTGAAACTTTTAAGGACGAAATATACGATATGGCAGGAAATGGCTTTTTTATTACATCGCACGTAAATGGAGGAATCCCCTTATTACAATAGTCGGCTATTAAATCAGTGAAGTTCGCAGAGTCTCGCGGGGGACGAAGAAAGTTCCGCGGCTAATGACGCGGTACTTTTAAAACGACCGGACTTAACGCGCCGTCCATGAGGTATTGGTATAAAATTTAGACACTCGTATATTCCACGGAAAGTTTCGCGAACATAAATACCGTGCGCCAAGGGTACGCCAAAGATAATCTCAAAGATAAAAGACGCCAGCAATGCTCGATTGTCTGGAAAGAACTTGTGAGTGGACTGAAAGGAACTTCCTGGTCGACTCGTTGCTCATGAATTTCGTTGGACCAAAATCTTGCTTTTCAGCGAAAATAAATTCAATTCATTTCCTTTCATCGACAACTCCAGAATTATAGATGGTGTTTATTTTCGATTCGCGAAATGAAAGATGCAGGCAATTTACTGTTACAAATATTTGGAAGAATTGTTGATTCTCTTAAGAGTAAAATTGAAAATTATATCTTCGAAGCCGCGCCCAAAGGATATCGTACAAATCACGATGTGGACGAAAAACAGAAACCCTCAAGACAAGTTGTACAAAAGAAAAGCAAACGAAAGTGGAAAATGTTGCGAGAAAATCGGCTCGGATACGGGCGCTTTCCAAGATGCGAACAAGTGCTTACCTGAAAGTCGAACTTCCCGAACTCTTGTTGGGCGTCAATGTCGGCGTTTCGCGGCACGATTATGGGACAAGTGGCGAGTGACACCTGAGCATCCGGCGACTCGCTGTAATCCGGCGTGACGGAGGTCAGACTGCGGTCGTATCTGAGCTCCTCATTCAGAATGGCGGCGCCGGCGGCGGGATGGCCCGTCGACGGCGCCTGGACCTGGCTGACGTAGTACAGGCACAACAAAAGCGACAGTACCACGATGCAGAGGACCAGGACGCGGCCGGAGCCGCGGCGCAGTATTTTGTACATGATTCGATCGATGTGACTCGCGTGCGTAGGCTCCACGATAGGTCACGGTGATTCATCTAGAGGTCGAGCGGATCGCGCGACAGCCTCGTGTCAAGTCAGCAATGACGATCGGCGATCGATCTTTCCTTCTGACGCCGTCGTTCGTCGACTTCATGGAATGTCACGGTAGAAGGATGGCCTGTAATGAGAAAAAAAAATGATTTTTAAAGAACATTGCTTTGAATTAAATAATTATTTGGCTGAAAAAACAGCTTTTAATAATTAATATTTATTTTAAGCCAACATAATTTTCCTAACTGTGAATAAAATATTGATATTAAAATATTAATCAATTTTGTATTAATAATTTTGGACATGTAAATTCATAAGTTTGTAATAATAATAATAATGCATAAAACGAGTTTCCTGCCGCAGAAGTGCAATGAATCGAAATCACATTTTGAACAGCACCTATGATCATAGATAATTAATTATGATATGTATAACGCGCCCTTTGTCACTGACTGATCGAAATATGAACATTTTAATCTGTACGAGATGAGAGCATAAGAGGGATTTACATCGAATTAATTAATTTCGATGGATTCAATTATTTAAATGGGCACCGGGGCGAAATAATACCTTGTTTAGTAATCATATGGGTTAGCACAAAGAGAATTAGAACTGTTATTGCATTTATTATTTATATTATATTTTGATACGCGCGCGAAAACCGCCGTGAAGCGAATTTAAAGAACTGTCATGTCGCCGCTGATGTTAACGATTGTGTCGTTGTGCACGCGAAAGTAACGACTGCGGCTCGCGGTTGTCGTATATTCAGAATGGCAAAATATAAAATTATGGCCCGATGCACGTACTCACTTTATATGGAGATCGTAATAACGCAAGCACCTGGAATTTTTCCACGCGAGATATATATCTTTTCTCACGGATAACCAAGGTCGGTCGAAATGCGATCGATCAATTCTTTCCTAACAATTTTCTTCTCCACTTTTTTACAGTTTCATCATTTGCGATAAACGCCTATCCATCCTCGTGATAAAGAACGCCAACACACACTTTTACACCCAAGAATAAAAAGAGTGTACAGATCGGCTACGTGTCTAGAAATATTATTTCTAAACCAAACTGTTTTTAATGATAAATAAATGGATAATTATAGTTAAACAATCGAGCTAATTATTGGATGGTTGTTATTGCAAGTTGAACAAACATTTCGCAAAATCGAGTGGAAAGAACAATAGAGACAGAAATTCAGTCGAGAAGTGCACCCGCTGCGATTTAATTCGCTCGTCGAATGATAAACTCACAACCTCGTGAACCAGAGACACAGTGTGTTTCGCCGGAACCTTCGTCGCCTGCCGGCTCGCTAAAGCCTCCATCACGATGTGTAAGGTCGCTTCTCACGCGATAATCGATCGCGGCTCTCGTATAACTATGCGCTCGACACCGGCACGCGGAGAGAGATCAGAATGAAACGGGAGAGGGATAGAGGGAGCGCGGGTTTGTGTGCGTGAATGAGAGAGCGAGATAGTGAAGGGTTAGCTAAAAGGGAAGCGAGATTAGAGTTTAATTCGGTATTAACTCGACGCGTGCGAGACAGACGATGCGTATGCACGAAGGAGACAGGAAATGCAACGACTTCGTTCGAGCGCAGCGATAGAAACTGCTCGTCCGAAGGTTCACGGAGAGATTAAACCGACTAGCCACGTCAACATTATTGAAGCGAATATATGAGGGAGTAGCGAAACGATTCGCAGGAAAACGGACAGTTGTGGGAAATAGTGGAAATTTCAAAAATAAATTTATGGTTAATTAAGTTAAACGACGGAATAAATCCGCGAAATGAGATAAATTGAATTCGTATTACGAAACCTCATTGTTCTTCAATTTCACTATACAATTATTATTGGACTACAATCATTATTTTCGCTCGAGAAATAATATTTTACGCTTAATTATGTCACCGCGACGCAACAATTTTTTATATTTCTCTTTATAAAATCACAAAGAGGTAACACGATAAAGCGTCTGGCTTTTACATTAAGTATTTTCATCTCTTTGTTTATTACAATAAGAAAAATGTGATTTGCGTAATCAAAATGTCTGCCAGTGTAATTATAAATTAGGTATACTCATGGTCGCGACAAAACTTCAAAACGAGCGTTGAATCTATGCGGCATACATTATCCGGCAAATTAATAAACGTTCTAAATGTTTGCATAGCCGCAAAATGATGGAATCGATTGAAGCAATTCACATCTACACACATGGCTGTTGGAAACAATCCGCATTACTATAAATCCAATTTCGATATCCACGCCACAATTGATATCGTCGAAGTAATAATTAATATACGAGTCGTGAGTAAAGTTATCAAGTTCCGAGCACGAGTTTACAAACTCAAACACACAACGCGAGTTTCCAAGTGTCTTCTCTCTCATCATCGCCTCCCTTCGTGATGAAGATTCGCCCCAAGTTCCGCGTCGGGCTTCAATTTTCCTCACAAGGACACTAATAAAAACGCAAGGAGATTGAGGAGACAAACGAGGAGGACACAGAGACGGCCGGATGCTCGTCAGGTGCTGGACCTCCAGCCATTCCACCCGGCGCGTCGGACATAATCCCTTTGTCCGTCCACAAGGACGATGAAACGTGTCGAGGATGCGTTATCGACAAACTTGTACGATATGCTTGCGATCGAACGGCGCGTTGAAAAGAAAGTAAAGAGTCAAAATCTGCTTGGTGTAATGCATAATCTATTATTATTATTGGTTTTATACTGCAAAATTTCTATTATATATACAACGTCACAAGCTCGTCAGTTTGAACTCAGCCTTTTTATAAAAAGCATTTTTTACAAAAGCTTAGACTTTTTAATGAAAAATTGTACAAAAATTCGGCGCTTTGTAAAAAAGCGAAGCTTTTTGTGAAATATTTACAAAGAACCTGTAACATGTATAATAGTTGCAATATTGCGAAAGATAGATTTATAATATTCCGCACTATGAGTATTTATCCCGCTATTAACATTGATATTTTCCATCGTAAATTTCAAGCGAGTTATCGATAGGGATTTGGTAAATTTGCTCACGTAAATATTTCTTGGCGCGAGTCCTGGGATTAGGCGTCTTACGAAAATTGATCGAGAATAGGTTATTGACCAGACTTTAAAATGTTTCTGCAAGAAAGAGACTTTGGAGAATACTGTTCGACAAAATTCGCCTTGCTGACCATGCTAATTTGATTATCAAGCTTGAAGATCCGGATGGTCTCAGTCGAAAATTCGCGCCGTCGTTGCCGCAGGCTATCGACCCGACCGAGCTGAGTCGATACTATTGGCTTCTAGGCTATTCCGTCGCGACGAACAAGAGGCCTGCGACGAACGGCTGCAGATATCGTTGACGCGAATTTTCACGACATGATTACGAGTCGCGAACGCGAAAGCTCGAGTTAGTGTTCGGAAAAGTGATGATGAGTATGGATGCGCTTTATGTAGCGAAAGACATAAATAAGATTATCTATATGTCTCCGATATGATAAAATAAAGACTGAAAATGCTTGTGCTTATGTGATGATAACGATTATTCTGTATCTTCCGCATTATTCGTTTACAATTGATATTTTCGACAGTTACTCGAATAATCGCGTAAAAATGTATTACAGCACGTTCTAATTAATCTTTAGCAACGCTCTGCGATGCCACCAAATGTTGACACACTCGATTAGATCTTTTCGCCAGGAGCAAATTTACGCGAAAAGTTTGTCTGTGCGAAACGATATGTGCTAGTTGAAAAAGTCATTGGCCAGACATGCGTCCCAAGGAGTTCGCGAGTTTCTTTCCGCGATTGAGGAAGAATAATGTCGCGCGGGCGAAGAAAGGGTGCTTTTTGTACGGCGCATCAGGGAAAACTTCGGCGAACGCTCGTGGCGGTTGCGAGCGGTGTAAAACCGATTTTTCGAGTAGGCGCGAGTGCAGCAAAGTGTTCGAAACTCACGCGCGACGAAAGAAGCGAGTTCTTTCGTTTCTATCTCCTTGGTTCTCTTTTTTTTCTCCCCTTTCTTTTCCTTCCTCCCCTCCGCCCTTTTTCCCAGTTCGCTTTCGTCGCGTGCCGCATTTCGCGTGTTCGGACGCGCTTTAAATTGGGCGCCCTTTAAAACGTGAGAATTATTCAACGCTCCGCCGCGTTACGCCTCCGCCGTTTGTTATCTCACCTCTCGCGCGTGTTACGTGACTCGAGTTACGAGCGCGCGCCGAGAAAAATGTCGCGCCGTCGACGGTACATTATGATTATCTATAAGGTATTAACTCGTTCTGTTGATTCTCCGTATGTTCGGTCGGGCGACCGTGTTTTTAATAATTTATCCTTAATCTCGCTCGCTTATAGCATACTGTTACCCGCGATACGTTAATTCGTTCCTTTGTATGTTCGATCTGACGACCATGCACTTTTGACAGTTTGTTCTTAATTTATTTATTTTCATCTACGTAATGCGCTTTTATTTACGATGGCTTAATCTATTTCAGTGTTGGTTAAAATTTTCAAAAAATACAGCTATTTAAACTTTAAGCTCAATTTTTTCCATTATAATATTTTTCAACGTTACTTCATTCAACTTTGCAATTACTAATTTACGCGGTGCATGCAAGTTTCAAATATCCGCCCTCGGTTTTGGATTTTACTTACTGAATGCGCATATACGTGCACACTCGATGTAAATACGTAATTAAAATCAAATGATTACCATTAAATGTGCGGTGTGCGATTTAAATAAAATTATCGTATTTTGCGCGAGTGCCGCGGTTGCTTCCACGGCTCGGTAATCAGTGGCGAACATTTGTTGCAAATTGACGGTAATCCGAACGGCTGCAAAACATCGTTGCGGCAGAAATTCAAACTATTGTTTACATTTTGTAATATATACGTACGGTTTCTGCGTATGTTGTTCAAAGAATCCTTACTTCGTATGGCGCACGTAAAATAAATTTCAAAAATGCGTGTAAACGGAGGACTGTGTTCGAAAGCTATGCTGCTAACTATGTGTCGACATGCAAATAAAAACTGCGCAAAAGAACGGTATACGGCAGCTCGTTGTTAGATGCAGTTTTTTCACAATGTTGATTCATGTAAATATATCCATTTTAATTTCAGTCTGCGAGTGGCTCGCACAAAAACT